ACTAAACTGGACTGAACTCTATTGTCACAAATTGAACTGGACACTGTCGTACTTTTCTGGACGGGACTACTGTATGTTGTCCAAAATTTGATCAAACTGTGTTGTACTACACTGGACCGGACCCACTTATGCAGTTTTATGTCCTGGAACTGACTCTGTTCTGCTAAACTGGACGAGACTAACATGTCCTAACCAGTCCTGGAGTCACTTGTCCGATACCGAGTCTGCTGTTCTAAACTGGAATAGACTCTGATGTGCAGAAGTGGACTGGACTCAGATGTCCTAAACCAAACTAGACTCTCGTTTCCTACATCGAACTGGACATTGTTGTCCTCAACTGGACAGGACTATCTTTTCCTAAATTTGATTGGACTCAGTTGTCCTAAACTAGAATAGGACTCTTTTGTTCCGAATTGGACCGGAGTCTGTTGTTCTAAACTGGACTGGGTTTTGTTGTCTAAAACTGGACTGGACAAACTTCCCTAAATTGGACCGTCCTGTAAAGTGAACATTTTTCACACTCGATTGACTTGATCCGAGTGACAACTTGATTCACAGTGGTCAAAAGTTAGCGGAGATAACTGATATCCGCAACAGTATCTTGGGACTTGCCTGAAACCTGATGGTGAAGACTCGAGACCCATTTATGACTTGCACATATGTGACCTGCTCCCTCCTCTGCAAGTACACAGCTGCCATGGAAAGAAGGAACATCTGTGTTAAAAGGTTTATTAGCTTGGTTGTCTCAAGGCACCGTTAAAAGCAACAAGACTAACTCCTGTTTAATGGAAGCCAGGTGCAAATGCAGCATCATTGTTGATGCGCTACAAAGGGCAAACGCTGCAACCCTATCCCAGTAGACTTGCGTTACAGAGATGCAGTTTTTTTTCCAAAACGGAACTAAATTCTGTTTTCCTAACCTGGACTGCAGTCTCTTGCTTTAAATTGGATTCTGTACCAGACTTGATTGGACTCAGTTGGCCTCAACTGGACTGTACTCTGTTGTCTTAAACTGGACTAGGCTCACTTGTCCGAAACTGGAACGTCGTCTAATGTCTGAAACTGAACTGGCCCCACTTGTCATAAACTGCAGTGAACTCTATTGTCAAAAACTGGCAGAGACACTGTTTTCCCAAACTGAAATGGACCCACTATTAAGTCATGAGCTATTTTGGACTCTTAATAGTATGTTAATGTTTTTATTGTCCTTTGAATCACCCACCCTGTTGTTAAACTGTGCTTCACAAATAAACCTGCCTTGTCTTTGTTGCCCTAAATTGGATTGGACCCGCTTGTCCTAAACTGACGTGGACTCTTTTGTCCTCAACTGGACTGGACCAAAGATCCTAATCAGGAGCATAATCTGTACTTCTAAACTGGGCTGGACTCTGTTCCTCTAAACAGAAATAGAGTCTATTGTCCTAAACTTACCCGAAACTGAACTGTATTCAGTTGTCCTGAACTGGACTGGGTCATTTTGTCCTAATCTCTACTCTGCTGTCCTAAATTGGATTTGACCCACTTGTCCTTACTAGACTTTCCTCTGTTGTTCTAAACTAGAAAAAAACTTGGCCATTATGCAACTGTAGTCTATTTACTTAGAAGCGCAATACATGTCTAAGTGTCTATCAAGTGTCCTCTGACAAAACTAACTATCACAGGTGTTCGTCAGAGCCGCCCTCACACCGTAGCCACAAAGCTAAGCTAGCTAGGCCACGCTAACGTTTGTCGACACGGGCGCATAAAAGCACTTGGGTTTCCTTCCATGTGGAGCTGCGAAAGGTCCAGCAGTTCACAGAAGAGCAAGCATATGCGTTTGATGTGTTCAGGCTCTGGCGAGAGGGCCGCAAAAGAGAACTCTTTGAACTTCCCAAATCACAATGATGAGAAGGAGATGAGGCATGGCGTGGCCATTTTCTTTACCGTCAAACGTGTACTTATGTGGAACACTTAAGTGATGCTGACCGACCACATGTGACGTGACCCTGAGCGTGGGCGGATACTGTGTGTGGACATGGATGTGTGGACTTGTGTATGTGGACAAATGTATACACACACACACACACACACACACACACACACACACACACACACACACACACACACACACACACACACGTCTCAGAATGAGTAACGAGTGGGATGGAGATTTTATATGCCTGACTCAGTTCTAACGTACTTGAGAGGCATCTTTGTGGGATGGAGCATCATGCTGAGACTTGGTATAATCTCAAAAAGCGGGTCCGAGGGCCAATTAAAAAGCAAGATGGCCGCCAATGCGTTTGTTGAACAACGAAATGCCTCCACTCGAGCCCTCAGAAATCAAACATCAGATGGGAAGTAATGAATCCCCTTTACCCTTTGTCGCCATTTTGTTGACCAACCAATATACAGCAGGGTCACCCATTTACAAGACTTTGTAAAAAAAATAAAGGCCTCCCCTCAAATAAATGCCTCCTTTTTGACCTCTTTAGTCAATAAAATAACAGGAAAGCTATCAAAGCGGCCGCTTTCTCCTTGCAACAATTCTGTCGACTAATCAATCGAGAGAAGGGTCACCCATTCACATGACTGGAAAAAAAAAAGGCCTCCTCTCAAATACACGCCTCCTTTTACCCTGTTAGTAAATACGTAAAGTAACAGGTAGGCAGACATGCGATATCTTTCCCCTTGTAACATTTCTGAAACCCAATCTAACGTACAGCTGGGTCAACCATGCACAACACTTGGCAAAAATGAAAGCCTCCTCTCCAATAGATGTCCCACTCCTTGCACTATTCATGTTTGACTTTAACAATTCTCTGTTGAACAATAAATGGAAAGCCTTGTCGCTCACTCGAGAGCGGTTGTACAACCGAACGGTCCTCTCTGCACTTCAACGAGTGACTTGGAAAAGTGACTCAGTCATAACTCACAGCAGTTTGTTAAGGTTAGTTAAGTCTCAATAACCACGACACCATTGTGGGAAAGTCTTTCCGAGAACGTCCCCAAAAAACCCCCAAAAAAACGCATCGAGAGCGTGCGAGTGTTAAATTTAGTCTCTTTTTTTTTTTTTCCGCGGAATTTTGAAGGTGTTTGGTTTCCACGGGAGAAGAGATGAGGAGATGAGCAAAGCTGGGGTCAAACAGAGGGAGAAAATGAAGTGATTCATTCTTCTTGGCCTGTCTATGAAGGTCTTTCCACTGGCAAACACACTTGCAGCCGTCCCTGTCCCTGCTGAGTCGTCTTCCACTCAAACACACACACACGCATACAGTATATGCATATTTTTGTCCGCAGCCACTGATTATCCAGAGATGTGATGTGAGAGAATCTCGTATTTCCTGAGGAAATGCTTACCCGATAGAGCAGATAACAAGATGATGGCTGGAGCACATTTCGTATACAGAAACAGGATCTTTTTTTTTTTTTTTTTTTTCCTCTCGGCAAATAAACGTAGACATGTTTCCTAAAGCGTCTCGAAAACCCAAACCAGCAAAAGGCAAATTTCCCACAGAGAATGTTTGGTTTATAATAATAGGTGGAAACATGCTGCGCAGTTCCTCTCGGCACTGCAATGCAAAGATGAGGCGCTGATATTTGGATGTCGGTGATTCACTGCAGTTCTGCTCTCGCAGTGTATTTAAAAGTATTCACGACACTTCACGTTTGCCAGATTTTGTCATGTGCCAGCCTGATTCCCCTGAATTTTGAGGGGAAATTTGTCTTGAATCCATTTTCAAATTCTACGGTGCTTCCCTTAGTATGTAAAAAAAAAAATCATTTGTCTTGTTGGACAAGTCCTTCACTTCCAAAATTTAAATTTGAATTGTGTCAGTTAACGTTTAGCTGCTAGCGATTGTGTGCACTATCGCTGGTTAGTCAACTATATGAGTTTTTCTCCCACTGCTCAGTTTTTAAAGTTTGCCTTCTTGGACAATTAATTCTCTTTTGAGAGCGACAAATCTTAAAGATTAAGAAATTGAATTGGTTTAGCTCGTATTTTAGCTGCGAGCAAGCTTTCTCACTTATCACTGGATTTCGGCAGTATTCCAGCATAATCAAGAAACGCAACATCCTCAGCAAATATCTGTGATTATTATCATTTGCTGAACAATGCAAATCATACATGATCAGCTGATGCTAACGCTAAACTGAAGAGAACACCGAGCAGCTAAGCTAATGTTAGCTAAGAAGACAGCAAGGTTTTCTCCCTGTACTCAGTACACATCTTTCAACATGCGTACTGTCCAAGCCAAGCGTTTGCGGGTTTTATTCCGCTCGTAAAATCATGTTTGGCCTTCAGAAAAGCTAAGCTATGCTACAGGAGCCAGCCTGTAAAATGCTCTACCACGCTCTTACAAGTTGAAGCTTTCAAGACTTTCTGAGCTTCCATGACACATGAATCAATTCCAAGCTGCTACGCGAGTGACTCCATCCACTTTGAGTGAAATAATGATACCATGATGATACTTGACTGTGCATCTTTATTTTGCAATGCCACGTGCCACGGCGCTCACAGAAAGCCTCAAAGACGAAACAGACCATCCATTTTCTAGAGCAGCTGACCGCATTGCTGCCTTTTCCTCCCCGGTCCCCATTTTCTCAACCCCCTTGTCCTCCCATAACCACATTTCCCCCCCACCCCCAACCCCCAAACCCATTCCCATATCCTCTGAAGTTCCAGACGTAATGTATTCCTCAGAGTTTAAGGGCTTGACCGCAAACCTCGGGAATGGAATCAAGTCCACTTTGGCCAATGGACAATGAGACAAAGAAGTCTTTGCATTCTCAATTTACGGCGGTCCCGACATTTGAGGTAGCATTCTTTTTCAATTATGTACTCCAAGTGTTTTCTGACAATTATCTACAGAAATGATTGATTTCGCGACCACATGATCATAGTTTAGTGACGCACTGCGGTGCGTTCCGATTTCAGGTTACATCGACGACGTGGGAACGGAACTCAACAACGACGCCCCCCTGTGAAGGTCACACCTAAATTAACGTTACATTATTTGTTAGTACGAACTAGCCTAAAAGTGCTGAACAAATACAAAAATGTGATGCATCACTCTCATCCCATTATAGTTAAAAGTTAAAACACAATTAACGGCCTGCGTGCAGGTTTAGCGAGTAGTTAAGTTATGCAACGGAATGCAACAACAGTCAAGCGCAAGTTCACTTCTCTCCGGCATCAGCCAGAACGCCACCACCATCTTCATCTTCGTGGTGTCCCCACAACAAAAACAAATATAATGACAGCGCGGAGACAGCGGCATGGCGTCTGATGCAAGACGATCCGAGCAGGAAAGCCCCCGGAGGGAAAAAGCTGTCATCAAGCGCTTCGGCTGCCTGCTTTCATGCCTTTATTACAGGATGAGATGGTGAAAAAAAAAAAAGACAAACAAAAAAAACAACAAAGCACAAGAAGAAGACACTCAAATGTCACGGGCCAGCTGTCCAGCATGCTGAACTATTTGAAATTCTCACTCTTGGTTACAGGAATCTCTCACATTCACAAACAAACAAACAAAAAATTGGTTAACCTGTTTAAAAAAATGGGTACGCGTGCAAGGAGTAGAACACCGTGGCCTGCCACCGTGCATTCCTGCACGGAGGCATTCGCATGTCGCGTGAATGCCTCGCGTCCAGCAGACGGAGAAATAAACACAGACGGATAGTGAGAGATGCGTTGTTGTTTTAAAGCTCTTTTTTTCCCACCGGCAAGTGTAAGCCTGTGACATTACGCTGGATGAGTGGTTAAGCACTGCTGCCTCATAACAACCACTGGGTTCGAGTGTTGGCACGGGTCCTTCCTGTGCTGAATTTGCACGTTTTCCCGCTACGCTCGTGTGGCTTCCACAGCTGCCCCAAAACACGCTAGGTTCATCCAACACTCTAATTTGCCTTTAGTATTTACATAAACACTCAAGTAAACATTGATCCGTTCAATTTAGATCGTGCTTGTTCTCATTAAGCTCAGAACCGTGCGGCAAACAAGTTAACGGTGAGGTGTGACATGAGTTTGAGTCATTTGAGTACCTGAATTAAAAAAAAAAAAATGCTAGAGCATTTTTTTTTTCTGTCTCAAGCCTTCATTTATTTGATGTTCACCTTCAGGAAGCGAAATCAAGCTAGCCACAGATAACGATTGTTCATGCTGTACATGACGGTAACACGGCGCCAATGTGGTCAGAAGGCCAACTTGAAAATGAAATCTATCGCTGCCAACGTCAACAGAACGTTCAATCGCAAAATAAGGACGCAAAAAAACTTAAATTAATCACGCTGGCACTGTATAGTGCGGGGCCCTTTCCCAGCAGTTGGCGGCGCGTGGCTAACGGCTAGCCGCTAACCGAGTGCCCCATGTGGGCTGACAAAAGCTGTCGGACTTCTTTTCAAAAGCAGTCGAATGAGCAAAAATGACTCCGCACACTTTGATGTTGACAGCCTCATTGAAAACAACAATAATGAACCAAAAAAAACCCCCAAAAAAAGGAAGGTTTGTGTATTTTCTGCTTAAATACCAGGAATAATAGCACCGTAACGAGTGCGACCCAAAAAGGCTAACGCTAATCCTATAACAACCCCCCCCCCCCCTTCTACTTCTTTGGGGCCACACCTGGATTCTCACTTTCCTCCGACGGCATTATTGTGATTTACCACCAGCAGACAACCACCCGTGCAGTTAAAATGAGAAACGACACGGCAGCGAGACCGCGCGTTGATTTAGTTGAACGGGGCACCAAAGTGGCGCTTTGAGAGTCCTACGCATGAAACTCGAGCTTCCTTGGTCCTCATCACATGATGCATCAGGGTGGAGGTTCGGAACCTAACCTTAATGGCCTCCTGACAGAAAACAGGCACTGTTTCGAAAATGTCATAGGGACACTTCTAGGCTCCAAGGGCCGGAAAATGATGGAAACAAATTCAAATCACCATGGCTTTGATTGATATTGAAATCACAATTATGAACGAACATCATTCTTCACTGATTTCAAGTTTAAAGTGTGTGCGTGTTTGCCTCCGAGTGGCGGTGTGGAGCCATGCAATGCACACACATTCAAGAGTAGAAGAAGAAAGTTGTAACTGAGCTTTATGAATATCACTTATCACTTGTTTTTCATAAGTTAGGAAGAAGAATGTGCCTTTGGGTGTAGCTATATGACCTGTCTTTATGTGTTACTGCAGTGTTTGCGGATGAATATTCCTTATTTTATCCTGGAAGTCGATGCTGGTTTTCTGTTAGCCTGTCAATGAGATTTTGCATTGACTGTTGAGCATTAGCACTGGTGAAGGTTCTAATGCAAATTATGCCTTGCTTTTAAATGCTGCTGCTCCATTTGAGTTAAAGTCGCAGTGGTTTATCTGGAGGTTTATATGTACCGTAATAGTAACATTCATGCTAATTTCCAGTTGTCGTCAATGGTGTTTCTCATCGTATGTTAGCATTAAACTAGCTGACTTTCGTTTGGATGAATGTTTAGGTGTTAAATGGGGGTTCACCATATTCCAGTACGCAAGTCGATTACCCAAAAGTGTTCTCAGTACTCACCGGCGCTTCGATCTTGATGAGGGCGATGTCGGAGCGTTCATCCACATCTTTGATTTTGGCGTCGTAAATGGCGCCGCTCTTGAGCTCCACTTTAACACGGTGCTTGTTGGCCACCACGTGCGCGTTTGTCACGATCTGGCCGTCATCGGCCACCACAAAGCCCGAGCCGCTGGCCACGGCGACTTCGCGCTTGGAGTACGTCATCCTGATCAGGAAAAGAACACAAATTAATTACCATTTATAATAACAAGAATCACAAAAATAACAGTTGAGCCAGAATGCATTCGGCATGAATCCACCTTCATGCTCCACTGCGGCTTGCCGTATTGAGATACTGTAATAAGATGCGTGGCAGCCTCGGAGCGACCGTGATGATTGCTTCGAACACAAAAGAGTTGCTAAAAGCAACAAAATGGTTCCAGAAGGGAGAACAACTTTGCAATGAAACATGCAAATGATAAACAGAAGAGTACTGGCCTGTGAACCTTGATGGACACCATACTGTATGTCACTTAAGTCTTTTCTGTGATATTTTCTCCTACCAACTTCAAAAATATCACATTTGCGGGGCACATTTGTTTGAACGCAGCTCTGCTTTTTGAAAAACTAAACGAATAAACCCAGAACAGTTCCACAGTGGAAAGTTTGCGGAAATTTTCCTGGACGTCAACCAGAAAACCTCCTCGTCGCAACTCCTGTGTCAAGTCAAACAAAAGCAGCGGCGCTTTAAATGAGAGACAGATTTGAGAGGGATGACTCAGACTTGGAGAACCGTCGCGGTGCGACACCCAACCCCAAGGAGGAGCTACAGGAGGAGGCCGGTGACACAGGTGACCAAAAAAAAAACCCAGGAAGCAAAAAGGTGCATGAGGAAAAAGACAAAATGTGTGGATAGGAAAGAGCTCCGCGTGCTGGTGAGCTCTGGTGCTCGAGTACACAGGTGGGCTGTAAATTTGAGAACACACACCCACACGCACACATAGAAAAGAAAACACACACCCACACACCCACACACACACACGCACACACACACAGGTGCGTGCTTCTTACTTGCGGTAGAGCTCGATGTGAACCACAGCTGGCGCAATTTTCTCCACCACGTCCGCAATGAAGTTGTACTTGTGTCTCGGGCTGTCTGGGTTGTCCTGAGCTGGAAATGCAAAGTAGGACACACGCACACACACACACACACACATACACACACACACACGTTGGATATGAGACAACTACACACAAACACAAGTCAAAAACCGACACGCTGAGTGACGTAAGAATACAAACAACTTGTCTTTGTCATACGAAGGGAGGAAATGACAGTTGTGGCGCGACGCAGACTGTCTCGCTCAGGTCTGACACACACAACGCCACCGCACGCTCACGCGCGTATGCGCACGTGCGTATCAATATACACAGTCACACAAACAGAAAATGCTCGCTCGCTCATGCAGTCTCTCTCACACACACACACACACACACACACACACACACACACACACACACACACACACACACACATATACACACACC